CCACTACGTCCCCCTCTCTCCCTTACTCCCTGTCCCTCCTGCTCCCTCACTGCCTCTCCCCCCCTCCCCATCCCTTGCTCCTGCTCCCTCTCCCCCGCCCCTCCCTCTTTTCCCTTCACCCATGCTCCCTCTTTGTTTAAAGCAAAATAAAACTAAGCAGTTAATCTAATCCAACAAAGTATGCGTTTGTTATATCACTATACACATTAACTGGATGACTAAAGATTCACCTCACTGGAGGATTAAGTGGTAGCTTTCATTTAAAATATTTTAACATCATAATGCAGGGATATTACTGTTAAAAATAAATGAAGATATAAAAAGGTAAAGCATTTGTTTATTACTTCATTTAAAAGTTTTTCGGGGATTACAGAGGTTCTATATTAGTAATATTTTTCCCCCTTACTTCCACAGCTCGTGGTTGCTGGGGATTTTGATTTAGGCTCACTTTTTAATTCAAGGGACTTTTAAACATCAAGAACTGCAAAGGGATTTGCACTATCAACAAATAAGTTTTGTTTGGAGACAGAGTAGAAGCTTTGGTCAAAAGGAAATCCTTATAACCAGTACTTTTTGCTTTTGATGACATAGTGACCATGTTGATGTATGGTCTATCTCAGAGACCTCCCTGCAAAAAGGCAAAAGAAAAAAAAAATCTAGTGATGTAATGCACTGCAGTGCTGTAACATGCATACCTGCTATGCCAAGTCTGGTCGTATGTAAAACGATACAAAAAACTACTACAGATGAAAAAGAGTTTCTTCTCCGGCGTGACGTAAACGCTGTGCCACAAGGCAGGAACAAGCCCTAACCACACCGTCTCTGCCTGCTGTTAACTGAAGAGCTGCAGCCTGCATGCCAGATTCGACCCAGCAACCCAATTTATGAGTTAAACACAGTTTCTAAGTTACGGCAGAACGAGAGCAGAAGCTTCTCAGAGACCACGCTCAGGGGAGAGTTTCCTCCCAAGTCTCTCAAAACCCGGTCCTAGCTTGAAACGACTGCAGCAGGGGGCAAACGTAAGCACCCTCTCAGCACTTCCCTCCTTCCCCTCCAAACGCGCAGCTCCAACTTATTAGGGTCCAAGCGCGGCGCTAGCTTTGAACTTCACAACGGGACAGCGAGCCGACACCTACTCGAGCAGGCCCCTGGGCCAGACCGCGCCCGAGCGCCAGGGCGCAGAAGCGGGTCCTCCCCCCCGCCCGAGGGGACACGGCCCCACAGAAGG